TTGCTCTGATCAGCTGTGTATATGTTGAAGAGGACAGGACTCGAAAGGGATGGGCTCCTCGTGACAAAAAAAAAGTGATTTCAAAACTATTGGATTGATCCCTATTCACCAAATTCCAAATGAAAACAACTGGTGATTGCCATAGCTAATTATCACTATATAAAAATGTCCAAGACTCCCAAAGCGTCTAGCATCATTGCCATAATGTCAATATCCATTTCACTGTAGACACCTTCAATTGTAGGTCTGACAGCCCAACAGTGCAGAGCTGTGATGTTTACATACGCTTCTGAATGCCTCAACATACCCGGCCTAGATCTTTCTGGTCTTGTACCCCTTGATTTCATCCAAGTCTTTAGGGTGCTACCTTTCTATGAGCTTTACTCATACGTTTGTAATTGCTATTAGTCCATATCATTACAGTGTGTTTTGAAGGATTTGGGTTTTATTGACCGTCCTTAATCACGAACTTTTAAGCTATTGAATTTAACACGTCCCTCAGGAGCCAAAGGACGTATTTACACTACAGTTCATTGAATATTAAAAGTAAATTCAATCCGGAAACTACCAAAGAGGAGGGTTTCGGCATATCTTTTCGAGACAAGTTTTCGTTTGTTAATTGATACATTTTATAGTGAAATACAAGATCCTTACGTCTCCATACTAGCTAGTACTAAGGTCTACCCGTTGGGAGTAAATTCAACTGAGATACGAACGATTTCACCTGCGACTCGGTAGGGAAGGTAGAAGCATCACAATAGTCAGCAGTAGGATGAGCAGACAGGAACACTTTGAAAGTAGCTACAGGCATAACAGTGTACTTGGCTTGCTGCACAATATCTACCAAGGTGGTTCTAAACGGTTCCTCAATACCTCTGCGTGTCACTTGAGGACTGCCATGTTTTTTGTGTTTTTCCGTTAAGCTCGTGATGCACTGACGGATTTCAGTCACCTTACCACTTTAAATCACTTTTCGCAGCCCCAACGCTAAATAAACATGTCCAAAAAATTTCGGTTCAAACTAAAAAAAAACCTGATTGCGTAATGTGTTTTTTCAACAAAAACTTCCCCCACTGGCTCGGCCCGCCACGGCCAGGTGGTTAGAATCCCCGTCACACCAAACATGCTCGCCCTTTCAGCCGTGGGGCGTTATAATGTGACGGTCAATCCCACTATTCGTTGGTAAAAGAGTAGCCCAAGAGTTGGCGGTTGGTGGTGATCACTAGCTGCCTTCCCTCTAGTCTTAT